GCAACATAGAAAAATAAAGACTGAGCTACACGACACCCCCCCCCCCCCCCCCCAAAAAAAAAAAGAAACACACAAAAAACTAAAACAAACTGGGGGTGATCTCAGATGCCCTGGAAGGGTATGCAGATCCTGCTCCACACGTGGCACCGCCAAGAATAGCCAATATTACTGAAAGTGGTGTTAAACACCAATCAATTAATCAATCAAACAATCATATCATATCATCAATGTCCTGTACGTTTTTAAATGTTCAGCAATAATGAAAACGTTTTAAATGTTTATTTATTGTTAAATATCTGATCTGATGAAAACGTCCTCATGACAGTAAGACATTAATTATTATATTTTTGTAACATAATATTTTAAGTATTTTACCTCCAGGTCTGGATTGGTAACAGAAGGGCCAAACAGAAGCGTGGTGGCCAGGGAGTTGTTCCTACCAAAAAAAGAAAGACGGTAAAAGGCCCAACGGCGTATTCCCTCTTTTCACAACAGTTTAAAAGAGGCAAGTGCAGAATAGTATAAATAGTCAAAACATGTTTAATTATTATTTTAGCTTATAAGAACTAAATATCAAATACGATCATTTTTTTTTATATTTTATCTATTTTGTACAATATTGTTTCACATGTATGCATATCATATAAGAAATATCGTTGTCTATTGTCTACACAATATTTATATATAAACTATAAACAGTTTACTTCATAACACACATGTAAGTTAATACAAAATTGTGAAATGTGGCATTCAAAATCCAAATGACGTGGATGTAAGCAACTATAGGTTATCGTGTGGCCTTCAACAATAATGAAAAGTTGATGCGAACACAAACTAATAAGGCGAGGCAAACATGTGTGTCAATACTAGTAGTTAAAAGTCATCTAACTCTTAACTTTTGTCGTAAAACGTTGAGAGCTCCTGTATGAATTTCCAGGTGTCTTTGCGATTCTTGAAATAACGATGGTCCGTTCATAAAGTTGCGTTATTTTAAAATTTGAATGAATGTTCCTGCTCAGGCAATATCAAATGTTCTATTAAAACTTACTGGTTCATTTTAAGATGACTTTACATCTTGGCATTTCATTTCACCAATAAGATTGTAATCCCCGTTATTAGGTGATACACCCAAAGAGGAACACCTGAGGTCACTAGGGGAGAAGTGGGGAAGAACTTCAGAGGAAGAAAAGGAGGCCTTCCGACAACAGGCCAAAGAAATTAGGAATGACCCATTGAAGGGCAGGACAGCAGAGGAGTTTGCTGAATTTCATATGAACTCCATAACAAATTCGGTTGGTTTATTTTTGCAAAACCTGTCATATTTAATAAAGACAAAATTATCTACATTTCTGTTTTACGACAGCATCATCATGTATGGGTTTTAACTTTTATATGTTCACAGTTTTGTTTTTTAAAGACTTAAATTTAAACTATAATGAAGATAGGTTTATAAAAATGGTGCAAAATTTTTAGATATTTCTATGACATACCCACAGGCACTTGTCTCAGAAAAAAATTTCCTATATACCTTAATATAACATTAAGGTATACAGGGGAAAAAAATTCTGAGACAAGTGCCTGTGGACATACCAAAGAATATGTAAGAATTAATGATCACAATATTGCCAATGGAACAAAACATACTTTATTTGGAAGGTACACGAAAGCAAATACAGCAGTTTTCTTTTAACATTTTTTTCTGCAACTTAATCTTTTCGAAATTTTAACTGAAATTAAATAATGCATTAATCTTTTTTATTTTATGATATGCAACTAAATGAAGTCTTTAAGGTAGTTCAGGAGTATAGAAAAAAAATGACAGAATTTTCTTATACTTTGCCAAAATGAAGATTTTACTATGCTTTTTTCCAAAAAAATAATAAAAAGTATGGGTCACCGCGCGATTTTTCAAAGTACGAGTCGTTCAAAATTGCCAAAATTTGATTAGATTGTTCATGATAAAACACATTTTTGTGCATAAAAGGAAATCTATGAATCAGAATTTTGAAATAAAGTATGAGAAGATAGGCTTTATAATATATTTTAAGAAAATAAAAAGAAAAAATCGTGTCACCGAACTTGTTTTCTTGCTACAAGTAAAAAATGAAAATTTCCTTATATGTCCAGTATAAATTTTGTACTAAAAGAGTTATCTTCCCTTAAATGGCTTATTTGAAAAATTAATTTTAAAAACACAAATATTTGGTATTTGTTAAAACATGTTCGATAATGCAATGAATAACTAAGTTTTCCTTATATAAATATACAGTGTAACCAATAAATTGCAAATCTATCTTCAAATTTGCAGATTTGGGCAAAGAACTAGACCGATTATTTACTGTGATGGTACAATTCAAGATGGCGGTATACCCCTGAACTACCTTAAAATAATGGAAACTTTGTATTGAAAGCACTTGCCGACCATGCAAGGGCTGTATAGCCAGTCAAGGTCGTTAAAAACTTCCATATATATATGGAAAGCACAAAAAATTGTCGAAAAAAATTCTGAAAACATTATGTCGTTAATTTAGAAATCTATATAATTTTTCTATGATTATTGTTGAAACATGTACACAAAAAAATCCGTTTGATTGATATAATATAACCATATGATGACTGACTTTGTAATTGGTTAACTTTCAACCATAGAAACGCAGTGACTGATCCTATTTTTATATTACACCATTAAAATTGTATGTATCCACAACATATCATTTTTTTTTTTAAATTATACTGTACCTTGACCTTAAATGTATTTTAAAGTGCAAAGGTAGCTATAAATGTATATTAAATTATATATTTATATTTCAGTGTGCTATATTGCAATCATTAGGGTATGAGGTTGCCGCTATCGCCGCAAAGGAGAGCGAGTCATCGCAACTGTTTGGGACCCCAAGAGGCTTGGAATTCATCCAAGACGTGAAATTACAAAAGGAATTCCGAGAATCTGTATTCAGTTAGTAATAATGAGTTAAATATTATAAGATTATACTTCATGTTTTTTTCAATGGACGACCGGAGAATCAAGATATTCATACAACGTACTTGTAATTCAAAAACCTTTTAAAATACAGCCTACAATATAAGTCCTATTCTTGCCTCCATTCAGTCACGTATATGATAAGAATTATTTTAAGCACATACACATATACCCTGTAAATTTCTAGGAACCAAAGAGTATAAATTTACACTTAATTTTCATGGTGTTTGACACATTTGACATGACAACATCATGACGAAAAAGATTAAGCAGAAATCATGATAACACTTTACAGAATAAAAAAGAGTGAGAAATTCGAATGTTGACAAAATTAGGAGGTGAATATATGTTCCAGATGAATAAGCAATTCGTGCTTCAATATTGCAACCCGTCAAGTCGCTCGTTGCATATAAAGAAGCTGCAATAACTCACATTTGGTAATGCAACAATAAATGAAAAGATGAAGGGAAGTGTACTCGAAAATGTTTTATATTTGTTTTACTATATTTTTAAGGACACATTGTGTATGTTGGAGATAGTATAACATGCAAAGAGACCAAAAAAGAACTAACTGAAAAAGTTAGAAAAATTTTCAATTCGTGTTGGGGTAAGTCTATTAAAATATGTCGAAAAAAAAACGAAATAAAAGAAACATGCAAACTTAAAAAAAAACATCTTAGGGACAACTTAATTTTCTAAATGATTTTTAAGAAGTCCTTTATTTACCAGTTGATCTTATAGCAAAAATTATCCCTTCTCACTTAAAAAAAAAATAATGTGTAAAAGCTACACTGTAATTTGGGATGGGCGTTTATGTCTTTTCCCTAAAGTAAGCACAGTGTATGAACAATTTTTTTTTTTATAATTTTAAGAACACGTAAGGAATACATTCGAAATATTTTATTTTGCGAAAATGTTAATCAACCTGTTCATATCAAACACGCTGTAAATTATGAGTACTTTTTTTTATCACAATTTCTATATAATGTATAGTTTAGAAACTAAAACAGTAGAATATATCAGATTTAGAGTGTCTATTAAATGATGAAACTGCCGTATATCTTTGGATGGTCAACAAACATGTTGATTTATGAGAAACGATTGGATAATTCCTTTTTGGAATTATTGCCCTTAACTGATAAGGGGAACTTCTCTTAGGCGGAACAGACAGCCTATGTTTACGAAAGAATAATAAAAAGACAGACGCAGCAGGCAAACTACAATATGTACTAGATTTACAAAACGCTGCAGACATATCGATCAATTGAATGTTAAAGTAAATGCTGATTACTGGTTATTAAATATATGTTTACATAGATATAAGAAGATGTGGTATGAGTGCCAATGAGACAACTCTCCATCCAAGTCAAAAAATATAAAAGTAAACCATTATAGGTCACAGTACGGTCTTCAACACGGAGCCTTGGCTCACACCGAACAGTAAGCTATAAAGGGCCCCAAAACAATTACTAGTGTAAAACCATTCAAACGGGAAAACCAACGGTCTAATCTATATAAAAAACGAGAAACGAGAAACACTTATGAACCACATCAACAAACGACAACTACTGAACATCAGATTCCTGACTTAGGACAGGTGCAAACAAATGCAGCGGGTTTAAACGTTTTAATGGTACCAAACCTTCACCCTTTTTCTGAAACAATAGTGTAACATCACAACATAGAAAGACACACTATAAAATATCAACTGAAATAGCTTAACTCAATCAAAGGACATATTAACACCATTGAACATACACTGAACAAATAAATTTGACCTATGACACAATGTAAATACAAAATAAGTAAACCAAGGGAAGAATAATAAAAGTAACATGTTTATATATATCAAGTTAAAAAAAAATATTGTCTTATGGCTGTCTATGTAGTATTTTCATCTTTAAAATTCTGATTGTGACATCTTAAAATAAGAATTGGCTTATTGTAGCGATTTTTTGATAAACTGAAGTTAATTAATACTACTCCTTCTTATGTGATGACATATCTCTTTTCAGCATCTGTCAGTTTGAAGAATCAGGCAGTACCCTATGGGAATATCATTAAAAACAACTCATATAGAATGGAGGGTCTGCCTGATGGTGTTATTTTCAAAGACCCTAATTCTTATGGTTTGTCTACTCTTAGGCAAATCATAAGCCAGAAAGAATCCATCAAATTTGTGTATGTATTACCCGTAGAACATGTAGAAGTAGTCACACATTTAATATTATGAAGCCACGAATATTTTTTATTTAGAAACTTGAATTGCATTTTAAGTTTTAGATTTTTCTCAATTTACAACGATTGTCTATGCTGATTTTAGTGCTAGAACAAAAGATTTGAAATAACAATATAAATGAGTTGAGTCAAACATTTAGTGCAGACACTTTCAAATGCTCCTTGAAAATACCATAACAAGTGCTAGGAATATGAAGCATCTATCGATAGTCATAGCAAGGGTATCAAGCTTTATCCTGCTTATTTTGTACCAGTGTCGATCAATTGTGAGTTTTGATAATGCAAATATTTGTAAAGAAACCGTTTATAAGATAAGATAAGATAAGATATTTTTATTCCAATTAAAGGGCCCATGACGAGCAAAAACATGTATTACAATGATTTTGATAATTGACACAATAATGTTGATATAAATCATATATAAATATGAATATAATCATCTCAATTGTAAGATGTTAAACCACAGCCAGATCAGAGCCATACACATATTAGTAAAAATATTAGTCAATTATATTTAATATTAACAGGCAAATATTCTCAATGGGTTACATACAAACATATCTGTACTATTTTGATAGTTTTCTGAGTTCAAAATAATTGTTAATATAAATTGCAATAATTGTAATAATCTCTTGAAGAAACGTGACACCAGCTTCCACACTTGCCTCATCTGCAACATCATCCAAGGGTATGTAAATGGGTAAACGGACAGAAAGTCACAGGACATGTATTCACTTTTAATTGTAGGAAATTGTTCATAAGCCTTGATAAATGAAATTTTTTTAAATTTTAATTATTCAAGGGATTTTTTCTGACATTTTGTTTTCATAACAATTTTTTAATCATTATTGATATTTATTGAATAACTTTTAATAACAAAGTTGTGATATATACTATATTTCAAGAACAAATATTTATAAAATGAGTGTTTTCTTGTTCAATGAAATATAATAACAAAACGGTATTGTGACTTTTTGTCTGTGCCTTTTTGTCCTGTGACTTTTTGTCCTGTGACTTTTTGTCTGTGACTATTTGTCCGTGACTTTTTGTCTGTGACTTTTTGTCGTGTAACTTTCTGTTTGACATTCTGTAAATCTTGTATAATATATGTAAATAAGGTTTGTACAAGTAATTCGTATTTTGCGAACATCTTGAAACAAGCAGGCCATCGGATGATTTTTAGATTCAGAAAAACAAAATATTAAGTTCTATGTTTTGCCAATTGGTTCATAAAAATTTTTCCTAAACATCTATATCTACCTCAATCAACCGAAATCCATCATAAAGATGAATATATTTCTATTTTTCAAAACGTTTATAATGCATGTGCTGAAATAAAATATCACTGATTTTATTTTAAGCTTGAGTAATTTTATATTTACAGAATTAGAAAATGGAAATATTACGGATGTCACGGATGCTCCAGCTATTCCTTTAGGTTGGTATTTTGATCCAAAGTTTGTACAGTGTATGAGATTTATTATGTTATCCACTTCAAGTTAAAGCTTTTGATTAGATTAAATTATCAAGGATGAATTTGTGTTTTCTCGGTGGTTTTGTATGCATATGAAAATATGAGTTTTATAAATTGTAAAGATATACAAACGAAATAACACAAACACATATCAAAGTCTTTAAATATGCAGTAACAACTTTACGTTATAACATATTAATAAAGTACATACAATATCATAATGATATTTACACAATATTCAATTTTATATACATACACACGAGTCACGATTGTAAATGATAACCTGTACAATGTATTAACTTCACAATATTTCAGAGTCCATGAATGTATAGAATACGCTACATATATTTCATATTCTTATTTTCAAAATGTTTATACGGCTTGAGTTCATAATATGGCGCGGAATGAAGGTCAAAAATACTTATTTACGTATATACATAATTCGATTTACGCATAATTCGATTTACGTATATACAAAAATAATTACGTATATTCGTTAATCGAATTACGTATATACAGAATTAATTCCGTATACACAGAAATCGAATTACGTATAAACAGAAATAATTCCGTATACACAGAAATCGAATTACGTACATACAGAAATATGTTATAACAATGAATTTCATTGGCAGGTTGTATTAATGTCTAGTATACAAAAATATTAACGTATATACACGAAGAATTCCGTATATACAAAAATATTTCTTTACATACGTAATTATTGACGTATATACATAATTGTATATACGGAATTCGATTTACGTATATACGTAATTATTTCTGTATAAACAGAAATAATTATGTATATACGTAAATAAATATTTTTGACCCTGATTCCGCGCCATATACCAATACATATACATATACACTCACACATTACACTTGTATAGCAGAATTATATTTATTTTATATAGAACTGAGAGAAGTACCCATGGAGGAAGTAGCCGATGCTATAGATATTACTATAGGTTAGGTTTTTTTTATCCACCATTTGTACTAAGGATGTGATGAATAAAAAAAAATAAAAAATACACTGTACGATCTTTTTTTCGGTTTTGATTATTTATGTGTTTTATTTACATTTGTTAAAATCTAAACCGATTATGTATGGTATTTTTTAAATTTTAATTATCCAAAGGAATTTTTTGGACATTTTGTTTTCATAACAATTTTTTAATCATTATTGATATTTATTGAATAACTTTTAATAACAAAGTTGTGATATATATTATATTTCAAAAAAAAAAACAAACAAATATTTATAAAATGAGTGTTTTCTTGTTCAATGAAAAATAATAACAAAACGGTATTGTGACTTTTTGTCCTGTGACTTTTTGTCCTGTGACTTTTTGTCCTGTGACTTTTTGTCTGTGACTATTTGTCCGTGACTTTTTGTCTGTGACTTTTTGTCGTGTAACTTTCTGTTTGACATTCTGTAAATCTTGTATAATATATGTAAATAAGGTTTGTACAAGTAATTCGTATTTTTCGAACATCTTGAAACAAGCAGGCCATCGGATGATTTTTAGATTCAGAAAAACAATATATTAAGTTCTATGTTTTGCCAATTGGTTCATAAAAAATTTTCCTAAACATCTATATCTACCTCAATCAACCGAAATCCATCATAAAGATGAATATATTTCTATTTTTCAAAACGTTTATAATGCATGTGCTGAAATAAAATATCACTGATTTTATTTTAAGCTTGAGTAATTTTATATTTACAGAATTAGAAAATGGAAATATTACGGATGTCACGGATGCTCCAGCTATTCCTTTAGGTTGGTATTTTGATCCAAAGTTTGTACAATGTATGAGATTTATTATGTTATCCACTTCAAGTTAAAGCTTTTGATTAGATTAAATTATCAAGGATGAATTTGTGTTTTCTCGGTGGTTTTGTATGCATATGAAAATATGAGTTTTATAAATTGTAAAGATATACAAACGAAATAACACAAACACATATCAAAGTCTTTAAATATGCAGTAACAACTTTACGTTATAACATATTAATAAAGTACATACAATATAATAATGATATTTACACAATATTCAATTTTATATACATACACACGAGTCACGATTGTAAATGATAACCTGTACAATGTATTAACTTCACAATATTTCAGAGTCCATGAATGTATAGAATACGCTACATATATTTCATATTCTTATTTTCAAAATGTTTATACGGCTTGAGTTCATAATATGGCGCGGAATGAAGGTCAAAAATACTTATTTGCGTATATACATAATTCGATTTACGTATATACAAAAATAATTACGTATATTCGTTAATCGAATTACGTATATACAGAATTAATTCCGTATACACAGAAATCGAATTACGTATAAACAGAAATAATTCCGTATACACAGAAATCGAATTACGTACATACAGAAATAATTCCGTAAAGACAGAAATCGAATTACGTATATACAGAAATATGTTATAACAATGAATTTCATTGGCAGGTTGTATTAATGTCTAGTATACAAAAATATTAACGTATATACACAAAGAATTCCGTATATACGTAAATCGAATTCCGTTTATACAAAAATATTTCTTCACATACGTAATTATTTACGTATATACATAATTGTATATACGGAATTCGATTTACGTATATACGTAATTATTTCTGTATGAACAGAATTATTATGTATATACGTAAATAAATATTTTTGACCCTGATTCCGCGCCATATACCAATACATATACATATACACTAACACATTACGCTTGTATAGCAGAATTATATTTATTTTATATAGAACTGAGAGAAGTACCCATGGAGGAAGTAGCCGATGCTATAGATATTACTATAGGTTAGTTTTTTTTTATCCACCATTTGTACTAAGGATGTGATGAATGAAAAAAAAAATAAAAAATACACTGTACGATCTTTTTTTCGGTTTTGATTATTTATGTGTTTTATTTACATTTGTTTAAATCTAAACCGATTATGTATGGTATATTAATTCATTCTGCAAGAAAAGAGGAAATCCTATATTTTTTTTTTGAAAGATTGCATGATTTAGTACAAAAACTGTATTGAAAACACTATAAAAAAGATAATACTTACATTTAGGTACAAGTGTTTACTCTTTCCATTTCAGGTGTTTCAGACACATTAGCCCATGCTGTTTCCAGTGATGCTGTAGAGGAGCATGGTGTTGAAGTACTTACAGGTTTGATTACAGTTTTTTCTGCATTATTTTGGTTTATATATATATATATATTACGAAAATATAGCTTGTCTGCAATCATCATAAAATTTTGCATTGATTGATCGTTGATTGCTTAATGTCCAATGCCCGCGCAGTGGCGTAGCTGCCGTTAGGCACTTTAGGCAGGTGCCTACACATAAGTTTTTCACAAATTTTTTTTATTAAAAAAAAAAATAAACAACGTTATCTGTAGATGCACGCTAGTGAAGTCGTCAAAACTCTTTAATAATCGAATGTCATGTGTACACTAGTCTATCATCCTTAGTGAATGGAGTATTGGATAGAATTGTATGTCATTATATTCCCCCTTATATAGAAACTATAAACTAGAACTTTGGTTCAGATCATTTCACTTCTATCAACAAATACTGGAATGAACCTCAACTTAGACACATGATTTTTTTTAATTAGTTGTTGTTGGCTTTCAACTAGCTTTCCACTTGTTCTTCATCCGATCTACAATAAAACTCTTGCCAAAGTTGGGCGTTCGTTCGTTCTGTGCAGGATGTATAAATACACAGTCACGTCTGGTCAGAATGGAGACGTTAAATCCGATACCTAGTGTAGAGAGAATGCCACGCTCTCTGCACGTTAAGAAACTTGCAACAACTCTTTGAGGGGTTCGTAGGTTTACTGAAAGGCAAAATTTCTGTTTCTATCCAATAAACCCTCATTTTCCAATGCATTTTCCGCATTTTTGCGCCTGTCCCTTTGTTGGTCTTGTACGATTTTTAATTTTAGTTTCTTGTGTATATTTCAGAATTCATTTCGTTGCTATAACCTAAAAGTCAATTTATAGTCGTATGATTATGTTACCAAATATTTTATTATTACAATGACAGCTGGCAAACATTAATCTTTAAGTGTTTATCCTTTCATTTCAGATGTTTTAGATTCATTAGCTGCAACAATTCATGGTGATGCTGTAGAGGAGCAAACAAGTGTTATTATACCTAAAGGTTTGTTTTGCTATCTTCCTTTAATTGCTTTTTGGGCTCAACACTGTATTGGCCGGATGAATTATAAAGTGGTTGTTTTTACCTAATTGGTGAAATCACTTCCTTGTTTTTTCCATCTCAGATCCCCGAATGTTCATAAATAGATAGCACAAGTTGAAGCTATTATAGAATTGTTTGGGGCATTTTTTTACAATAAGACTTAGTTATATTTTAACAAAATTTATAGAAGAGTGTACAAGATTCGTATCATTAACTGGTACAGTTTTGAACCCAACTTTTAAGTTGTGCATCTGATAAGCATCTAATATAATGGAATTGTTAAAGAAATTATTCAATTTTAAGAGAAAAAAATAGAACATTCACAGAACGATTGCACATTTTTTATATTAATGAATTGTTTGATAAGTGTGAGGGGTTTTCAAAACACTTGTAGACAATTACAATGAATTTCTTCTAAAGATATAAACAAGAAGATGTGGTATAATTGCCAATGCGACAATTCTCCACCATAGACCAAATGACACGGAGCCTATCTAAATTTGAATATGTACAAGTCATAAGACATGGTATAATGAACATTTGAGTTAATCAATTTATGAATAATATTTTGTTTATTTCATTTTTTTCCTTTATTTCAGAAGAAGAAGAGTCAAATGACATGTACAAAGTGTCCAGTCTTCTTGCCAAAAAGAAAATTGGAAGAAAACAGTTCTTTTTGGTGCACTGGGAAGGATATGAATCTTCCGAAGCTACCTGGGAACCAAGAAAGAACATTCCAAATTGTTTCATAAAATGTTTTAATAAAAATCTAACAAAAAAGTGAAAATAAACTATCTTATTGTTTAGGGCTGCATACAGTTATTTCTCCTTTTTAGTTAAGTTTTACCCTTGTCCGTCTGTACGTTCGTCCGTACGTCCCCAAATTGGTTTCCGTTCTCTAACTTTAGTTTTCCTCAACCAAATGTTATGAAACTTATACACAATGCTTATAACCACAAAACACAGATCAAGTTTGAATTTTGTGGTGTCACTTTTACCGTTCTTGAGTTATGCCCCTTTACAAATGGAAAAAATGCATATTTGCGACTGCACATCAAGCAATCAACCACCAAGATTTAATGTATGTGTTGCAAATGATTATGTTTAATATAAACAACTGACAACTGACATTGACCACAAACCGTTGCCTGTACATACCGGGCTACTTAATCAATAGTTAGAGCACTGAGAAACTAGTCTAGTAAAAACTGGCAAACCCTTGTCAGTCTGTACGTACGTCCGTACGTCCCCAAATTAGTTTCCTTTCTTTAACTTTAGTTCTCCTCAACCTAATGTTTTGAAACTTATACACAATGCAACCACAAAACACAGATCAAGTTTGAATTTTGGTGGTTTCATGTTTACCGTTCTTGAGTTATGCCCCTTTACAAATGGAAAAATTGCTAAATTTTTTGTTTCCGTTCTCTTTCTTTAGTTTGTCTCAACCAAATGTTATGAAACTTATACACAATGCTCATTACTACAAAATACAGATCAAGTTTGAATTTTGGTGGTGTCACTTATACCGTTCTATAGTTATGTCCCTTTACAAATGGAAACATTGCTTAACTTTTCATTTCCATTCTCCTACTTTAGTTTGACTCAACCAAATGTTATGAAATGTATACACAATGCTTATTACCACAAAACTCAGATCAAGTACAAATTTGTGTAGCGTCACTTTTACAATTCTTGAGTTATGTCCCTTTATAACATTATATCCAAGCGGGGGCATCATATGATTGTGTCCCATGGACACATTCCTCATTTATTCGTTTTGTTCTCTAACGTAAGTTAGCCTCCAGCAAATGTTATGAAACGTATAACCAATGCTTATTACCACAAAACACAGATTAAGCACACAATTGGGTAGTGTCTCTTTTGCCGTTCTTTAGTTATGCTCATCTATAATCATATATGCAAGCAGGGTTATCATCTGTGTCCCATGGACACATATCCCATTTATCTTATCTTGTGTCTGTTTACCCATCATTAAATGTCGTAAACCTTTGTGCATAAATATTGAGGACATATTAGAGCTTAAAGTTTTATCAAGTGGACAAGTTTTTTGCCAATAACAATTGTTGGACATGTTAAATTTGGGAGAGTACTGTTTGTTTACATGTTCGTTAGTAACAGGAAACACTTATGGGAAGTCAATGATACGTGGTATGTACGTGTTCTATAATACAGTTGGAGGAGCATTTGCATCTCTCATTCTATTGATATAAGGGGGTCTGACCCCAAAAATCATTGATCAGTTCATATGCTAAATCTGATTAGTTCAGTTTGAAGGACACCAGTAATGGTAAATCAACAATATTTGGTGTGTTGTTGGCAGAATTACAACATCGCATCCATGAAAATTAGTTGGTCAACCCCCTTAGTCATGGTGGTCGTGGACAAACCCAAGTAAGAAATTAACACCTCAAAGAAACATAAATAGAACCATACAAATATAACATTCTTGCAGGTTCTCGGATACCATCTCGCATATTAAAATAACATCTTGCAGAAATGCGCCTTGTGTGATATCGATCCTCTTCCTATTTTGAGCTTTTCCTGCTATCCGAAATAAAAATTGTGGAACTTATTTTATCGGAATCATTTGGCAATATTTTCAATCTACTGTTTCTTTACGTAAATCTCTGCAGCATTGGGGCCCACTCAGCAAGCTGTGTTCCCTTAAAGGATCGTTGTTAAAAATATAAATGTATTGAATTAGAAGTTATTCCAAATGTTGAAAGAAATTTCCCGAAAGGAAAGTTGGGCATGCACAAAATTTAATTACAGGAATATACATATTATATACACGAAGCAGTCATAGAATGTTGGCCAATATATAGATTTGATATCAATAGCAGTTTTTATCTAAATAAAATTTATGAACGGTTGGTACTGATTTAAATTAGTGTATCTTTCATAACAGTCTTGAACATTGAAACTAAATATTAGATAAAAGACACAGGTTGGCTGTCACTGTGCACCACAGTTCAACATAGAAACCTATTGGGAAAAACCAGAGAACTCTCTATGTCAGAAAACACTGTCAAACATCCAAATATACTATCCAGACTGATCTGTTTCCACACTTGTTGTTGAATAAATATGTATGTATTAAAATGTATTATTATACAATTAATACAAAATGAAACTTATTACTTGACTTTCTTATATTTTTATATATAGCCAAATGCTACTTTAAGATCATGTTATGTATAATATGTGAAATAATCAGTGTTTTGTTTTTAAGTTTTGGCGTAAATGAGATATAGCATTGTGGTGAAAATGCAAGATGACCGCTACCTAAAACAAATAATGTCACATACATTATTAAAAAAGACAACTTCTGATAAAATGGATGTGGATATGAGCAACTATACGCTACAATAGACAATATTTATTTGCACAAACAAATTAACATTAACATTACATTTACATGACGACCTATAATAATAACAAAAAAAAAATCTTGTACGTTCATGTATTTCACATCCACTTTTTTGATGTAATATTATTTGCATAGCACAAAAATGTCGGCATTCACCGCAAAAGCTAACCAAACCTTTAAACAGACTTAATCTGAAGGGATATAGTTCCGATATTTTTGTAAAGTCATTAAGAATGGCATATTTTGGTATTAATATTGATTCACTCATATAGGGTCTTTGCATCGGAAATAAACTCAACGTATTCTCAAACCATGACACGGGTTATGTTCTTTTCAAATATTTTATGATGGTATGATACTAAATCCCTAACGGGAGGGATTGTGCTTGATTCTCTGTATGAAGACATGATCTTTATATCAGTTTAATAGAGGTCTGGAGCTAGCATGTCTGTAACTGTTAGTAGTCCTTTGTTAATCTATGTATCGTTAACGTTGTCATTTTCCTTAGTTTCTTTTGTTACCTATTCTGACATCGGACTCTGAATACTTTTAAACTGAGTTTTACTGTGCGTATTGATGTGTGTTTCTTTGTTCTATATTGGTTAGATGTATAGCTGGAGGGTTGAGATCTCACAAAACATGTTTAATCCCGCCGCAAGTTTGCGCCTGTCCCAAGTGAGGAGCCTCTTAACTTTGTAAGTCTTGCATTTTTTTTAGTTCATTTATATGTTTTGGAGTTTAGTATGACGTCCATTTTTACTGACTGACTAGTACATATTTTTATTTAGGGGCCAGCTGAGGCCCACATCCGGGTG